GTCGCGCCGCTGTTTGACTTTCGGCCGTTCGACTCTTCCTTAGTTTGTTGCTGCTCGACTAAGGAGGCTATAACTTTCGTCCAAACGTACCGCGTTGCGAAATTTTTGTATGTTTTCACAGCGAATACTTGACCACTGACCTGGATCATGTTTATAAGCCTGAGCCTGAGCTCTCCCCCCTGCAGTGCGACCTGTGTGTCGTTTATAATTACCAGAGATTCAAATAAGCTTGTCGTCATTTCGAGTGCTTCCATTCAGTTCGTACATAACTCGAGACGAGCTGCTATCCAATGTAATCCGTTCAGTTATCGATCCGAAACAGTAAGGAAATTTCATTTCTGAATATTGTTACAGCTGCATTTTGATTTAGGATGGCTGTTCACCATCTCTCATATCGGAATGGAACTAAGAACTTCTCTACTTATTGACAATGTTCGAAAATGATCCAGCGCAGTGGGGCGAGAGAAAACATCGGAGCAGCATCGAAAATTCTTTTTGTTTCCCTGGCGGAGCAATGAAGACGCGACGGATACAAACGCGGCGACAACGAGGGTGTAAACCGGCGGACAAGGCGTAGCTGTCTGTAGGCAGCAGCGGGGAGAGCGGATCAATCGCGCGCGCCCGGCACAGCAGAACGCCTCCACTCGCACTTCTTTATAAATGAGACGAAGCCCCGAAACGAAAACGAAGGAAGCGGTTCAGATATTCACCGGTTGATTACGCGCTCGCGCGCGAGTCCCTTCTTCGGCCTTCTCCCCTCTCGCTCTCGCAGTCGACAACGAAAATTCCCTCGAGCGCGCTAACTCGACAACTGACAAATTAGCCCGGCATACCGACGACACTTGCAAAATGGGGCGACAACCCAAAGGAGCAACCGAGTCTCTCTGCGCATGTATATATAAGCTTCGGAGTTTGGATTACGTCAAAGATACTAGATAGTATCCTGTCGTACTGCACCTGCGAAACGCTGTGTCACTTAGTATAAATTTCGGCTATTTGCTGGCTACAGTTTGCGAGCTTTGCATCATCGAGTAGCTCGCGCGCGCCTCCGCCTCTTTCAGTCGGAGTTTGTTCATTTGCATTTTAAGTGAGTGACGGCACTGAAAACAAAACGCCTTAAAGTTTGGAAAGAAGTTCTCGCCGTGACCTAGTACTCAACGGTTTTCTGATTTATCGTCTTCTCCGTCTGCTTTATTTTGTCGTGCCGTGACAGCCATATATTTTTTTTGCTATATTCATTAGACGTCCTAGAAAATTTATTTCAAATGCACAGCACAGTTATTTTCCAAAGTTGTCGGAGCGTTCGTGTAAAACTGTGGCCCTACAAAGATACTTTCAAATGACGAATGGATTTTCATAAATTTTGAGTTGAGTATTTTACTACTAGAGTGACATTCAAAATTCCATTATGTTAATCAAGTTAGCTTTTCCCATTGATCGACTATCAAACGAAAGTTTGATTTAGCTTATAAATGTCTCTTAATTATCAACTCTTTCGATATTCCGTTGTGCAAATAATAATACAAACATTATGAACCCGATAACTGTTCGCAAAAGAAACGTTATCGTGCATCCCCTATACATTTATGGATACGTATTAAAAATAAATGTGTCTACGTATGGAAAGTGGCGTGTACTTTTGGAATTTACTACTAGGCGGAAGAATTGTTTTGGACACCGTTTATCGGCTTGTAATTTGATACGAGCTTAAAATTGTTAGCACTCATATGACAGTGAGCAAAACGCGAAATCTCCAACGAAACGCATAAATATGCAGGCAATACAAGCGTGAAATAAAATTGTGAATCATGAACAGTCTCTCGCAAAATATCCAGCCGAGATCGGCAGTGCGATCGCTGAGGAACCGGGCGGCTTGTAAGGCCGCAGCGCGTAAAATGCTGTTGCGCGTGCTATATAAGTGGATTGAAAATAAAAGCAGGGGGAGCTCGTTTTTTCCATCGCTCGCCGACACCCTCGCGCGAGCAGAAAAAGTATCGACTCCGCTGGAGAATTGTTATTCGCGCGGTGTCGCTTTCACGCGGACTGATAAACGAGCGGTTTTGCAGTGTAGCCCCTTTTAGCGCGCATTGCTTGAATGTAAACTCACCCTTCTATGCCAGCTCCCGCTACGCGTATACCTATATACTCGCACAGATCCGCAGTATCGTTTAAGCTTAGGCGTAAATCGTTTTCTCGGCTTTAAACGATTGTCGTCGCGCGGAAACAACGGAGACTCGACGCCGCGTGTTTGGCATGGAATTAATCGGCTGTGCCTTAAATCGATTAGCCTGCGGCCTGGCTTATTTTCAAGGCGGCGCGCGTCTCGCGACAGCTGACGATTTTACGTGGCAAAGCTTCAGCCGCGCCGGGCATACCCCGGGCATTCTAATCGCGCCTTGCGTCCTCAGTTTTACGGGATGATCTTAGTTTTCGCGGGCGAAAATATGGGCGGCACGTTGCGCCGGGGATGCAGAAGCTCGTTAAACATGAAAATTTCATATTCCCGGAATTAGTTTTACTGCGCGGCGACACAGAATCGCGCGCCCTTCTCCCGTAGCCATCAAAGGCAATAATAACAATTCGTCAAAAGGCCACAAATCACTGTGTGCCAAGTTATATTCAGGGCACACGTATGGCAAGGGCGAATCTCTCCTACGTATACGCGACAAATCGCACGACACTCGGGCCTTTGCGCGCAGAGCAACTTCACCCAGGATAGAGGCTACAGAGGAAAGATTAGACCTTGCGTATGCTGTATGTGCGATGTGCGTTGATCTCCTGGGGCCGATGTCTCAAACGACGACCAGGGACCACATATGCCGCTTATATGTACTATGTGCGCGCAGGTGAACGGAATTCTCGAACGAAACAGAAAACCATCGACGCCACGGCTACTGGCGTGGCCTTTGCGGGTCTACGGCCGCGATAAACTTGAATAACGAAATTCTTCCGTGCGATCTCAAAGTTTGACAGTTTATTGGGATACTTCGTGGTAATAACTAATTTATAGGTAAAGTTTACGATGAGAGTGTTAGGCTGGATATTTTGGTAATTTTTCTTTTATCTTGAATCTTTGCGTTGTGTTCGAATCTCGTATGTGTGCTTTTCGGACTATCGCGCTTCTTTCTGTTGAAACTTTAAAGCTTCGGATGCGCAAACTTAAAAATTTCGAATCGACGTTTTTTAATCGGCTCAAAGTAAACTTTTGAAAAAGCAATGGATTTGCAAGGGGGCATTTTAACGCAACTTTTGGTGACGTATAAAATTTCATTTTAACAGATTAATTACATTACAGAAATATTTGGAATGTAGATTACGATCTGGTTGGACGTATTAGAGCACAGCCAGATAAATCTGAAGAAACGAATTTTTATTCACGCGTAAAAATGCAAACGCAATAATATTCACGCTCACGAGCTATCGAACAGGAGGTAAGTCAAGTGTTCCTAAAACACATGGACACAGGCACGCTCGAACGCGAGAGGCATTGCCGTAGAAAGTAAAATATGTTTCACTCGGGAAAGAGCGACACGACACAGGGGTAAGGGCGATAACTTTGTCATAGGCAATTTGTACAAGTGGGCATGCTGGGCTATACGGCTATTCGACGCTTGGGATTCGAATTTATGACTTAATGTCCCGCCGGCATGCCGCCAAACTAAGAGATACTGTATCCTATATACACGCGACCCGCTCATCCACCTCGTTTCTATCGGTCGCACGTATCCACCTATACTTCCAATATTGAAATTAGATATCACGTGCTTTGAGAAATAATTAACTTGATTTAACAGCACCGGGAATCGTTTTTATCTCTTCTATACGCAATTCGTTTATCTATAATTAAAGATACTCGTTGCCAATCACGTTTCGGCTGAATTTCTCTATTGTTTGAATGATTCATTAACGATGTATGTTGCCGGTATACTATATTGCAGACCCTTTATGAAAGTGTTTCTATTCAATAACGGAATGCATGTGATTAGATACTCCATTTGCTTGTATGGCGGGTGGGTTGGGTTCGTTGTACACTGCTGGATTATAGAAATGTCGATAGTTTCCGATTTGTCTTTTTTAAAACAGTTGAAAACAATTAATGGGGCTTGGTCGAACTCGCAGATTCATTTTTGCGTTAGTGTTACGTTAAAAGTTGATTTTTTTAATTTTAATATGAAATATAGTAAACAATGTGAATTATACATTGTCAAGGAAGAAAAATAGACGAAAGGCTTTTCCGAACTGAATTCTTTGTTTAAACAGTATTTTATTCAGTAGCTAAATAGCCACTGTACTTTTGAAAACACCGAATATCCCCAAGGAGTTAAGAAGCAGCAGGAAGCGCGCGCAAAGACGCCACCAACTGCACGCGCACACATGTATTATTCGAAGAGTAGCGAGGAGAAAGAGTAGACACGTCCGAAGGAGATATGTACCTCATCAGCGTGAGGCATAATGTGTCGGCCGGCATAAACATTTATCCTTGGAGGAAAATCCCTTACGTTCACATTGGTATTCCGCGAGGAGCATCCTACGTTTCGGAGCATTCGGGGGACATGTGTCACGGTAAAGACGGGATCTTACCTTCCTCTCCCGATGGCTCTTTAAAATTGCATCGGCCGTAAAGGCCACGTGCGATTTTTAATGTCGTACCGATGCTCACGACAATGACTCTGAAAGTTTTATTAACGGTTATCGGGGGCGAATGCCGACGAACGTGGCGCGCATTCATACGACTGCTTCCGCGACTGACTCTGTCGTTTCTTTTTTTTTTCTGATGCTCTACAGTGCGTTATTGGGTTTCATTTGACGATTATCGTTTAACTGTTTACGTATTCATTGTATTTTTTGCTTAAATTTTTCATTGTTTTGATCAGTACACTCATGAAACATAATTTACCGCGCTGTACTTCAATCGACGTGTCGCACATGTCAGTTTTTCTAATGCAGACATGTTAACCTATTTCAATAAGTAGAAGCCCTGCTGCGTGTCTTTTACTCATTCATTTTCTAAATTTTAGTACTCTCTGCAGTTTATTCCGAGTAATTAAGTCGTTCGACCTCGATAATGGACGTGCTGAAAAGTGCTGGAAGATGTTTCCTCTTCTCCAAATGTGGTTGTATCCCTGGAAACTCTACGGAGAAAATCTTCAAAAGTAAGTGAATTCATAACCTCTAACGTTTATTTGTACAATTCTTATTGAAGCTGTAATGCCATTTTAGGGTGTTTTATTCTCCATTCAGAGGGTTCTGTAACAACGTGGGATTATTTGAAAGATAAATTAGGTATCAAAACAAAAAGTGAGTTTTAAGTTATTTTCAGTAGACAACTAAATCATTACGTTAGATAACGTCCATGTATCAATTTAATTGATAAATCGCAGATACTAAGCGAGATATACGAGAACAATTGGATGCTAATTACGCTGAACCTGAGACTATTCAAATACCGGTTAATTCAAATTCGAGAAATGAAATATGGTCACCTAGTTATAGAGGCCGGACAGAAAATAAACGATTTTAATTCAAACCGTTTACAAATATCCTTACGCAATCAATAAATTGAGTTTTACAATTGGTAAAATTATTAATATGTGTAAATTGTAATATACTGTTGTTATAGTAAAAAATACCTCATATATTTATGCAAGTCTTTGTAAATACGTGGTTTTTTAAATAAATTGAAATATATTAAAATAATTGGCGGAGAACATATGTAGAGAAACGAGTTGTTTTTAAATTTACATTCAGTTACACGATTTGGTCGCTTTTTGAGATGTGAAATTTACAAAGTTAATGTCATTTGTTAGAATCGAAACTAATTTCAGATTAATGAAAAAAAGAAACGATAATTTTGCAAGTAAATAAAGTCATTTTGATTTAGAAAACTTTTTGCGTATTTTGCCACGCACGTTTGTTATGAAATTAAATATTTTTATAAATATGTTTCCTCGTGTTTTCAATTCCAAAATAAAAATTCATCTTCCGTGTAAAACGAGAGTAAATTTCTCGCAAAATATATTTACAGGTTAGATTGCGGACATTCTTAATTGAATCGTTGCTTTTACTGTATCAACAAAATTGTTCCATTAAAATATTTTTAGCGAGCGTTGCTTTGGCGGAGCGAAAATTGAAACCGCAGAGTGGAATATTGTCGAAATTGAAGGGATTATTTGATAAACCATCAGGTATGCTATGCAGCTAGAACAAATGATGTTGTAGATTATAAGCAGTAGTTTGCGTGTTATTTTGCGAGATGATTTTTCGCTACAAATGTAATCGTTTCGTTTTTTATTACTTGTAGAATATGAATTCTCGAACGTTAATTTACTACACAAAAATAACCGACCTCGTAAATTTAGTGCGTGGTCGAATAATTTTGCATTGATTAATATAAAACCGATTGCACAACGAATGGTGGAAAATTCTCAGATAGATTATTCATGCCACTATGCTTCGAAACGAAATGTATCGGGGCCATTCGTAAAAGATCCAAAACCACCCGTTCGAGAGCCAAACGCGCCAGAAAGTAATGTAAAAAAAGACAAGACCAAAGAAGATCGAAAAATCAAAAAACCCGCTGTGTATGTTAAAATGGAAGAGGTTAGTGTTCCGCAAGCTAATCAACATGAGCAACAAGCAGTTGACGAGATTAAAAAAATACTGCGTCACAAGTGGGGTGTGAAATTGGTGAAAGATGTTGCTCCTCCAAAGAGTGATACAACAGGATCCAACTCAGCACCGACTGTCGAATCGATAAACAAAATGCATTCCGATGACAGAGTATTATTAGCTATCGTTAATAAAACCGACGACGAGTTGGAAAATTTATACGTCGAACGAAAAAAAGGACATACCTTCAAAATGGACAAAATTTCAGTTTTACAAGCCACCGAATCCGACGAAACAACTGCTATAGATACAGAATATCAAGTTGCTGCAGACATAAAAGAAGGGGAAGAGGCAAGTGTGTGGAAAAGCGCAGCATCCAAGTCGACGCGCCGTGTAATAGAAAAAATACCAACGCCCGAAGAGCTGCAAGTAACCGAATCAATATTCATTCGGCCAGAGCCACCTGCGCAGAAGTCGGATGAAAAGTCCGATTTTTTGCATTAGATAGGAGGGTAGAATAATTTTTCTACAGAAATAAAATTATTTTTTAAACTTAAGCCATTGTAACTGAAAAAATTAAGCAAATGTATTCGCATTATTGACAATTGGATTTGAATCGCTTTAACTCATGTGGTGAGTATTCATCTCGGGTTTTGTATTTATTAGTGGACATTGTACTACCAAAGCTTTTAGACTTAAATGAAATCACGGAACGCAAGTATTCCCGGTGTAAGAAATCAGGCATGTCTAATCACATTTATATTTATTAGAGAATTCATAGCTTACAAAACTTTCGTTCCGAGAATACATATTCTATTAATTTTTTTAGAATAAAATCTCAATAATTCAAACGTAATTGGACATACAGTAATATAGACATTTCAGATGTGTCTAAACTAAAGGAAAATACGATGAAGATGGAAAGTGCAAAAAATAAAATAGATCATTATCCCTGGCGTCTTTTTTCATGGTTTGGCAAAACTTCAGCTGGGATGACTATTTCAAATGATTTTAAAAATGTTAAAGAAGAACAAAATAATGATTACTATACCTCATTATCAACTAAGCCAAACGAAGTGAGAACCACTACTGAACTAGATATTCTACAGAAAGACCCTGAAAGTCAGATAAATGATCCAAAATTACCATCAGGTAAGCGACAAAAAGTTTTTCTCATTACTACTTAATAGCAGAAAAAGTAAAATTGTGAATTATTTAATTTTTTAGAATTGACAAAGTTTGTTGAGAAGCCAGCTATTGTAGAAGCATCTAAACTTACGACTGAGTTGCCCGAAAAAAGTTTACTTAATTTTAAATTGCGACGTTTACAATGTAAAATTAATTTTATTGCCCATTGGCGTTCTCCGATGGAATTCTAATTATAAATTTTAATATGCAGCAATAAATAAAGGAGAAGTGAAACAGATTTACGAGCTGAAAAATTACCAGTACATCAAGCTAAGTGAAATGAGAGCTGCTGATGAATTAGACATTCTACAAAAAGACCTTGAACGTCAGAAAAATGATCCAAAATTACAATCAGACAAGCGATAAAGAGTTTTCCGTAAATTCCAGTTATATTTGCCGTCGAATTCTATATTTATATATTGACTCGTGATTATTATTTCATTGGACAACATTCAGTTCAGTAAAGTAAGAAAATATGAAAAGCAGTAACCTCCTACAATTTTATTTAGCCTATTACAATCAACGCGTTAGTGAATCATGATTAGCAGATAAATGTTTCTCTCCAAACATCCAAATATCAGCATGTCACCGGTGCCAGTAGTTGTCGATAAAAATAATTAAAATTCCTTATTTACGTAATTACAAAAACGATCTCATGGCGATTCATGGAAATACAGCTTCTTGCGGCTAACCACAATATTTGGCTACAGTTCAATGACTTGCCAACTAGAATCCGCAGTAATAACACAAAGTCGCATCTGTTGATAGGATAGGAGAACGAGTCTCTGCTGATTTGTCGTCACGGTCGCGTAATTGGTGAACATTTCTATCTCTGTGCTCGCACGATCGATGTTTACGTTGTGTAGCTTGAGAACGGTTTGCCTTCGCGCGGAGACGAAACATACGATGAACTTGTATTACCGTTGAAGCTAATACTGTTAACGTAAATATTAATGATTTATTGATCATTACAGTTAGTCGATTAAATTTATTTACGCGATTAGAAAGGCGTGCTGAAAATTCGGTGTAGTTGAATTAATATGAGGAGGCTTCGTGCACTGATGAAAACTTCTATCAAGTATTTCAATGTATTTAATTCCAAGCATATATAATATGGCTATCGCACGTTTATTATCGTAAGAATAAGTGGCTCGCAATCGAAGGTGATAATAATGGTAATAATAAAATCTAAGCTGACGATAATCGTAAGAATGAAAAATCAAAATTTCATGAAGCGTCACTGTATCGCAAAAACTTTGCGAGAAGCTAATCAATAAAATCTAGCAGTAAAAGCAAAGCATTATAATCTCATTTCCGCTACAGCCAAAATGTAAAAAAGAGCGACCGCTAGATTATTACGTGTGACTACTCTTCCCGTAATAGCGTCGTCGTCGCCGTCGCCGTCGCCGTCGCCGTCGCCGTCGCCGTCGCCGCCGCCGTCGTCGTCGTCGTCGTCGACGACTACCGCGCGTCGCAATTTGCAGAGTCACGGATCGATTCTCATTCCTTCCGATCGAGCAGATCGAACGACTCGATTACCTGGCAGCCGTCTCTTATTACCAAGCGCATACGCACGCTCGCAAGCCACTACTACTGCAGCACCAGCAGTCGATGAGATTTTGCAGTTGGACCTTTTTCTTGCCGCTGCTGTTACATTCGTCGTCGTCGCGCGAAATCACTGCGGCGAGTCAGTCTAATGGTTCGTTGCAAATGCCGCGCGGATTATTCTTTTGATAGCGCTAGAGATTTTCTATCGCACAAATCGGCGCTGCGAGGAATTGCGAACTCGTTTAAAAAAATGTGTACGTTTGTATTTTCCTGGAAAACAGCCGGTTAATATAATTAATTTTCGAAAAAGGGGAGAAGAGGGGAAGAAGGACAATGGAAATCAGATAAAACACTACTCACATTTATTAACTGTTAATGCTCATAATCAATCCTCCGAGTCCTCTTTTGTCATCCTCTTCCCCTCGTTGATTCATCAGACTTTTTGCCGCACAACTTACCTCTCCTCGTCTTGTTTCTCCTGCGGAAGCTCCTTCCTTCACATATGCGCTTTCGCTCTCCTCGGCGTAGCGCAGCTTCGTCAAGAAGCCTAGAGAGAGAAGAGATGATATTATCTGGCGGATCATTCCTCCTCCTCCTTCTCTTCTCCCTTTTCCGCGGACTCTGCTCCTCTCTTGGAAAAGAATCAAGCCGTGGGGCTGTATATTACTCACGCCAGCGTGTTTTCACTTGGCGCGGCGATCGGCGCCGATATCATAACTCCTTGTCGTAGCGTCGCGCCGCCGCCGTGGCTGATGCTGCTGCCGCTGCTACTTCTCGGCAGCTATGTACCGCGATAGCAATTCCGATAGACGAGGCGCGATCGTTGCACCCAGACATAGCCGCCGCCTCACGAGAGCAAACTCCTAAAGGGACGTCAGATGTGCGTTGCGTGCGCGTCTCGTGATTGTCGCCTCTCCTTGCTGAAATAACAAAACAAATCGGCCCGGGTTGATCAATTTTGGTAAGGGCCAGACATTTTTCAGTCGCGAAATTAGAACGTAACATAAAGCTTTTGCTCCTGCCGTTTGCCACGGATCAGCGGCTTTTTTTATATTTGCTGCATGCTGCGTTCTTACGAATCGGCATTGACACGTGTATTTCGAACAGATATATATTTATCGTGCGAGCGCAAACGATAATAATAAAAGCATGCGGAAGAATAACGAAAAGGCCGCACGCGCGAATCGGAAGAGTGAACGAGCGTCCGGCGTTCCATCGTCGTACTCGTCGTCGTTGTCGTCGTCGTTGTCGTCGCGGTAACACCGAAAATAGATGGTTTACAGCCTCCCTTAAATACGTCAACGTTTATGCGAGAATTTCCGAAAGTAAATCGACCCGTGGAATGTTTTCCTAAGACGCCACTGGCAAGGCTCTTGAGCATCGTCACGAGATGATGCGATGTGCTTAGCCGACTCGAGCTCGACAAGAAGATCCATATTCCGCAACCGTGCGGTACGCAACGGCATCGTGAAGACCCCCTTCATAGTTAAAAATGATCGCTATTATTAAATCCACTTATCGAGCGCGGCAGCAGTATGTATACATTATTTACGATCGGATACGAAAAACTTTTGACGACTGAAGCCTTCGTTGCTAATTTTTCTTTCTTTTTTCCATTGAAATTGAAATTCTAAATAAGCTGTTTCTTTTGACGTGAAATATATGTGCATAGTATTATAAGAAATAATTTATTAAGTTAACATTTCAAAATTTAATGCATTTTATATTGTATAACACCGTGATTTTCGTGTTATTTATTTAGGAAAATTTTATGAACATTTTTCATTCACAATTATTCATAATTTTGTTTGAAAAAACATATTTATACTTCAATTAAAATGAATATTGAAATTCAAGTATTGCGAAAAAGGGAAATTCGGAGACATCAAGAAATGAGTGAGAAGAAGCATAGGCTCGAGGGCCCGTCACTCTTACACGTTGCTGTCTCTCTCTCTTTCTTTCTTGTTCAGCAAATGCCCGTAGATGACAATGCTTGAGTCGGTCAGGTAGGAAATATACTTGTGTTGCCTCAATTCTAGTAACCAATATATTTTCCACGCTCATTCTAGTATGCGTGAGAATATTATGGTAATTGTGATTAATATGGATACCATAAAAGCAAACGTAGTTTACAATCTACAAGTGCAATATTTCTAATTTCATAATTTTACATATAAATGCATGTTGGACAATTTTTTTGGGGTATTTAAACAAAATAACTTCTCAAAATCTCAATAAATTAAGAAGCTAAATTCTTCACGAAGCTAATATTATTTCACCATGCTTTACAAACTTTTTATAGCAGAATAGGATATTGCTAGAAAGTTGTTGGATATTGGATATTTAAAAACATGTAAAAAATATTCCAAAACGTCAGAGACAAAAGGACTCACAATACGCCAAAAATCTTCAGATATTTTCATCTTTTTTCCTCGCCCTATACATATATGTAAACATGGCCAGTAGCAACTATGTTTTAGACAATTAAAGGGCGCTGCAACAGTCAAAATTTATGTGTATTTATACATATAGTCTATAACTAACAATAAATTAACTTCTACACTCATATCTTGCAGTCTCAATGCTTAATGCTCAAGAGTCAGTGCTCCATAGTCATTAATCTCATTCTAACATTATTAATGTTTGCATGCGAATGTATGTTATAAATTAGTACAAATAATGTATGTATATCGACAATCATTTTTACACTAATAAAGAATGCTTAATATTGAACGTTTTATGTTTAGTCTCTTTCACATCTAGGCAAAAATGGCTTTATCTTTGAGTAGCAGTGGAAAAATGGATATTGCAAAAAGAATCCTTGTCTGGGACTTGAACTAACTTGATTTTATGAACAAAATCATGGAAGAAATATTTTCAATGTCAGAACTTACAGTCAATAATGAGAAATACCAAATCAGCATTCATCCAAATGGATGGCCCAAAGATTCCAATTTCTCAGCCCAAAAAACAGCCCCAATTAGTAATTGTTATTATGTTATAATTCATATTTACTCTAAAAATATATATTATCAAAAAAATTAATCCAAATATAAGAGCCAACCCCAGGGAATAAATAATTATAAATTAAAACACATTATATAACTTAAATGTTTCGCTGGATATGTTCTAAACCTCTTCAGTAATTTATTGTTATATGCGACAAATTATACATCATTACAAAATGATTTATGATATTTTAGCTGTGAATAATTATATTCAATATATAGATAGAGGAAGTGTTTATAGTAAGAGATTAATATCTGAAATACTTCAAATCAATATTATGACAATACGATTAATAAACAGGAAGACACATTAGGTCTGAATTCCCGATATACATATCCAGCGAAACGTTTACGAGGTACAATGTGTTTTGATTTTTGATGTTTTGTTCCCTAGGAATGGTTCTCATATTTGGATTAATTTATTTAATTAGTTATTATGTCTTTTGCGAATCGCTGCCATTTCTATTGCGTGGAATGTGCCACTTTTATTGCAGAATACAATTTATATAAGTTTGATAAGCTCCTTACGGACCATGATTTTATGAGAAGGCTTAATTATATTTCGACGGAACATAAACTCATGATCAACTCAAATCATTGAATTTTGAACGTTATTTCAACTCAGAAGTAAACAGTGTTGTTAAATTTTGTGTAAAATATCAATTATTATATACGGATAAAATGATTTTATCACTCAAATAGGAGCATTTTCTATACCGCCATGTTTGAGCATTCTACGAAGGAAAGTGTACAAAACGACGTACATGTCAATGACATCGAGTATGAAGTGTTTGCTGAAATATTACAATTCCTTTATTCGGGACGCGATATAAATATGAAAAAGAATTCCAAAAATCTTCTAATCGCTGTCGATAAGTATGCTGTTGACGATGTGAAATGGATATGCGATAAATATCTCTACAATAGTCTATTTGTTGATAACGTATTTAAGTATCTCGAATGATCCCATGCACATAATGTAGAAGTATTCAGAATCAAGACCATAAATTTTATATTATTAAATGTAAAAACACTGATAGAATAGTCTATTTTCAAGTCTATTGTAGAATTACCGAAAGATTAAATTTTTGAAATTTTGCGATGTTTCGCAAAAGACAAAATTAAAATAGAATGTAAACATATAACGTGAGAAACTCGTAAAAATATTTGAGTGTATTCGTAAATATGTGTATTAAATGAATAAGATGTATTAGTAAATATGAGTGCTGTATACAAATTGCGATAAAGTCAGATAGACACTTTATTGATAAATACCAATAACCTTTATTGAAAGACCACACCAGTACGTTTACCCTGTAAATACTGACGCTGCGCTCACTTTTACTAAATTCAAGAGGGAAAGAGAAGGGTGTTTATCTCTCCCTGTGTTTTTCCGAAAATTCATTACTCTACAATGAATGGCTGTCGCTAGGTCTATCTATATTCGCGTACGAACTACGTACGAACAACCGTCACTGTCGGGAATAATGTCATAAAAATTTCTCATTCGTACCCCGACGAGTGGCGCTTGCGTGGCGTCAAGAAAACTGGAAGTTACAGTCGATCGAACCGCAGGCAAATTAATAACAGTTTCTTGAGTGGCTTGAGCTCTCGTCGACGTCGGCGACGTTTTCACGCTCGGAGCAATTTTTAACGAGCGGCGAAGGACTTGCGTGATAATTACACGGCAGCGCGCGCGCACCACTCGAGAAAGGGAGAGAGGGAGAGACAAAACTCTTTGGCGGTGAGTGCGCGCGTGCACGCGAGCGCGTAATCTTAGCGTAATTTTTTATCCTTGGCTCGCATGCGATATCCACGCGAGTCGTTGAGCATTTAACTGGGGCTTGCGAGTGTCGCGCTCGTGACAGCCGTAATTTAGCGGCGCTCGCTCGCGTGCAAGTCAGCGTTTGGTCGTTCGTCGCAGCCGGCGCGTGGAGTGACATTGCCAAGTAGAAAGAGAGAGAGACAGAGAGAGAGAGAGACAAAAAATAAGAATCACGGAGCCGAGCTCTTGAGCTTTCCAGGCGGATATCTTTCAATTATCCCACTAATATGATAGGCGGTCGCCGAGTCGAGTTGCAAGTCAGCATTGCCTCGTTGCCGCCAGCTATGGCTACCTACTGTTTCTCTCTCTCTCTCTCTCAGCCCCTCAGCGCTGCAAGCAGTGATTAATCGACGTCAACCGCAGCGGCGCTCCAACCGAGGATCTCGGCTTTCTGCGATTTGCGCCAAATTTGTTTTCTTCAGATTGAGCATTGGGGCTACGAATCGAATTTTTAACACTGTTATACTTCTCCAAGATAACGTGTTTATAGTAAAACGAAATGTCATTTTTTTCCAAAGTAAAATCGCTTATAACGTATGAGTTGATAACAGATTTTACGGAAACACGCAGTCTATAGAAAATATATGTAGCATTCTTCTCAACTTATCGTAAATCATACATGAAAGTACTGAGTTGAAAGTAATCTTCAGCTTATGCGATCAAAAGTATACAGCAGCTATTAGATGTCTGTACATTGTACAGGAAACAAGGATAGCCTTGCACGACCGAGCGCTCAATCGATCTCGTTTCTTTCCTGATATCTTCCCTCGCCTTTGCTCGAATAATTGAAAAACTATTCGTCACACCATTGATAATTGAAGCTCGTGCGAGCTACGCGAAGAAGTCGCTGATGGAAATGACTCGTCGTTGCGGTTGAAGCGTCATTATCGTGTGGGAGGGAGAGAGAGAGAGAGAGAGAAGCGAGGCATTAATTTTCAACGTTTAGCGATGGACGATTACGAATGATCGTCCACGTGTGCATCAGCGCGCCTCGCACCCCTCGATACAGTTCCGCGTCCTATCTTTTATTACCGCTTGCAGGCAATTATAAAAACAAGTTTTCTGCGGTTTTTGCGTGCAGGTAGATTGACTGCCGTAGCGAACTTTTTTCTCGTTTAGTCGACAGAGTGCTAAGTTTCTTTATGAAAGTTCGGACGAGAGCAAAGTCTTTTCTGATAAATGACATACTCGGATATTTGTAGTTTGGAAAAACCAATGCCGCACTCATGACAAAAACGAGAAGTGCGTGCGGCTGGACCTCAATCGTCTTGGCAGAGTGTCATTTCACCCGATGGAACAAATGCCCTGCAATATCGCTGATGGTGCGAGAATCTTTCTCTCGTTAGTCTCTTACAGACTGCCAAAGCGTCGCAATATACCAATAGATCGTTAGCTTGTTATTAATTGTTAACCACCTGATGAACTTTTAATCATCTTTTGACTCTACGGATATTGCGAGAGGAAAACCATTTGGCTCTATCGTTATCATCAGAAATTCGAAGTTTAAAAAATATTTTATTGTCTGCAAAAGACACAACGACTTTATATCAATTACCATGTTTATCATTACCAGTTCAGAACTGAAAGTGACTTTTTAAAGTATTCTCGTATGTTCTGTAGATATAGCATTAATAAAAGCCTCGAAATCTCGTTGGCAATAAAGTCAAAATGTAATCCCCCTAATCTGGTAAGCATATCAAGCATTGGAAAAACAACGAAGCATGCAGCGAGCACAATTAAAAGAGTAATCTGCGTGAGAGAGAGAGAGGCGTAACAGCTTTTAAGGGTTAAATAGAGCTCGGCTTGATGTCATCAAAAGCCCCGCGTATTTTGTTTGTCGAGCAGTTATTAAAGGTCCGTGGAAAGCACGCCACGCAAGGGGGGAGTGTCAACACAACGATAGCGAGAGATGATAAAGCGACTCGCTCAGCGTTGAATTTTAATAATGTCACGGCTGTCGTGTCGCCGCGCCCCTCCTTTCGGTCAGTGTTTGCTTTTACTCGCGGACTATTACCTCTGCGCGGTGTGTGCAGAGGAGGGCTGGGGCGGCGAAAATGCTCGCTGACTGATCGCTGATTAATTGCTGAGACTGATGGGTAGGGAGGCCGTTCAAGCGGGCTGTCTTCGTCAACAAATTCACTTGAGCCTTGACTCTCGTCGTTGCGCGCTGACTGATTATCTCTGCGATATTAAAGCGCTGGTTAGCGCGATACTACACGACAGACGCCCACGACGAGCCGCCTAAATGTTGCAATAGCGCGTGGTTGGCTCGTAGTTAAATTAAATGTTCAGCGCCGTCGACAGGGCAAACTCCCAGCGCGCGTACACACACGCCACGGGAGAGAGTCAAAGCTCGAGAGCGAGGCTTGAGCTGCATAATGTGCCGACGAGGCATAATCGCATTATTGTTACTTGGGCGTCCAGCAGCGCGGAATAAGCCGATCGCGTCTCGGAGAAGTGCCTTATGTCGTTCTCTTACGCGTACGAAAGCCGAAGCTGTTGCCTCTGTCCTTTGCGCCCATGGATGCCTAATGTTCGCGCAGTGAGCATCGCGCTCATACAGCAAGCGGTATTTAACGTCAGTTTGCTGTTTAATTATCTTAGCGAGATGAAATCCTCGAGCGAGGAGCTTCGGGGGTGATATAAACATCATACCGTCTTCAAGGTTTTCGTGCACTGTTGCGTTGATCGCTTTTTATCATGTCATTGAACTACCTTATTGATTCGTTTGGCTTTTCAAATATCAATGTGCTCCTTTTTAATTTTCACTTTTCATATTGCTTATATGTCAAACGTTATACTTACTTTCAGCAATTTATTGCTTTTTTTCAGCACGAAAAAAACAAACTAGATTTCTTAAGCACAGAAACAGAAAGAAATCATTTGACATTTTCAGTCCACAAAAGTTATCGATTACTAGAACTGTACTCGAGGTATCTCTGATGTTTTATGTTGGTAAAAAACGTTTCCTCACAATTCTTTTTAAGTTAATGTTCTACATAAATATCGAATATTCGATCAATTATAATCCGATACCGTCAGTCATTTGAGTTGTCGACGATTTGATTCGACATTTTATCCAAACAGTTCATAAAACGTGTCACCAAACTCGTAGATCACAAGAGCTCGCAAAAATGAAACACTTAGTTTGTACAGAAAGCCTCGCAAGAGCTTCAGGAAGCTCTCTAGCAATCAAGTGCGTACTTCCCAGCATGCAGACATCACATAGTCGAGAAGTGAAAAGATGACAGATCGTGGGGCGCGCGCGCGCCAAGCGAGTTTTAATATCGCAAGGCAACCCATCCTTGACTCAACTCTCGCACGTAGGAGTCGTTAACATACCTCGTGCAAGCAAGACGTCGTTAAATTGAAAATAACTGTGCAGGTTCTACGGTATAGTGTTGATGTGGACTCGACAGGCACGTTGACAAAGTCTGACTCAGTGCTTTTTTTACGATTGTCGAGACGCCCGTTTTAAGAGCTGATATATCCGCCGCTGCTTCTGTATACATATGCGCGCGCGAGTTGTATACAAAAAGCCGAGGGAGGGCTATTTCGGCCACTGAGCGCAGCTTGTCAAAACATCGTTGGGGAATCCACACATCGCGACAGTATACTCGATGAACGCCTTTCATGTTTGTCAACCGGGCGGTCGCGGGGGCAAACAAACACGACGATCACCCACGTCATCTATATTTCTCAAGCACCGCCGCAGGCGCGCGCGCGTTGAGCTTTTTATCTGAGCGCTTTAACGTCCGTAAGCTTATTTTCGTTTTGCTTTCTTAACAAGCTGCTCCAATTTTTCATTCCGCTTTGACAGCGATTTTGCAAAAGAATCATAAATTTCGACACTTTTTATTTGCTTATCGTACGGCTCGTTCGGATATTTTCGGGTTTAGTGCTGGTTTCGCTCTTGCCCATAGTTTGAATTAGCGAGACGTATGGGTATATAGGACACCCAGAGATGATTGCGCTATTTCGTTTCTAAATAATAACTTCAACATATGCATATATTTTTATGAATTCAATCGGTAAAATATTACAACGGTATACAAGATAATTTTTTAGCGCTATTGCTTACAATTGTAAAGCTACATTTAAGGTGTCTTAATATAACACTTTGCTGATAAAACCTAAGCCAAAATTACAATCTGACGTAATTCTATGAAACGCAACTGAAAATTACGGGTACGACAACGTTGTAAATTTTAACGACACATATACACACACACACACACACACACACAGAGGAAGCAACAGCAAGCTTAGAATTCCTCTTCCTGCCCTTATACCGCGAACCGCGATGTTCATGAAAAGAAGCATCAGACCGGAACCAACGACGCGTAGATCATCCGCAGCACCAAACGACTCATACGGACTAGTGATTATTTATAGAATGGAGACGAATTTCTCTTTCTTAAGCCACGCGATATAGATTACGAGGAACGTGCGTCTTAAGTGCGTCCATATGTTTTCCACAAGCAATCGCGCACGCGTCGTCTGCGAGGCATATTATTGCGCTTCTGGCACGCGACGACATTTGCTCTTTGCAGTCGACGTCGAAAAAATAGTGCGTTGCACCTTCCGCACAGTGTCACTTGACATTTTTTATGGGCAAGGCATTTTTTACGCCATTATTTTTGACGTCAATACCTACGTGAAGAAAAAAAAATTGGACGAATCTCTACGCGAAAGCACATTTTGCAAAGGCAGATCAAATTTTATTTGGTAGAATGTCAAAATAATTTATGACTATTGAACAAAATATGAATTTAATAAGAAGATACAAATATGTTACAATACATCATTGAAATAACGTCGATGGCACAACTTTCGATAAGTTAGTTACAACGGCACAATTTGAATTACCGAAAATTAGCTCTGACAATATCCGCTAGATGACTGCATCGGCGTGTATTTATCTAGAGCAGCTATGGGCATAGTGTACAGTACAACTAGTACAGGACAACTGGACGCCGTTCCTTACCTACGTTAGCGCAACAGAATTCAATCAACTATAATTTTGACGTTTGGCATGATTTATCTATTGATTAACAAATACTGTGAGTAAATTGTAGATCTACTAGAAATATTTAAATAATCATCGTGATTCGTAAACGAATGAACGATTTGTTAACAAACAAATTTTTATTTTAAGCTAGAATCTGTTTGTTTTGTTTTAGAGAAATTATGTGTGCTTTGCCTACTATCATTGGTTCCGTGGCCGTTAACAAATCAGTTTTACTATGGAAATTCGAGAATTCGGCTCTCCCCAAAATAAACAAGCATCAATTTCTGGGGTCACCAAATTTATTCAACGATAATTCTCGGTGGCAATTTTCATTGCTCATCAAAGAATTCGATGGCAATGAATATTTGACATTGACAATGAAACATCAGGTAATTGATGGAAAAAAGGAATTGATTACTGTGGTATCGCTACTGGACAATCAGAATCAATCGCATTTTTCTCGAATGGTGACTATACCAGTCATTCAAACTTATGTCGTTACTCTGGATAAATTTATTAGTTACAATGATTTGATAGACAATCTGGACCAATTTTCAACAGATGAACAACTTATATTGCGTTTTGAAATACTTTTAAAACCAAATCTCTTGATTAGTAACTTTAGGCCAATGAATTTTCTAAGCTCATTCAATGATGAAAAGTTTAGTGATATTTGTTTTGTTATTGGTGATAAAAAATTGTATGCACACAAAGTTATTTTGGCCAATAGAAGTGATGTATTCTTGGAACTTTTCGAAAAGAAAGGAACGGAAAGTCAGACTAATGAAGTTAACGTCGATGACATTACTTACGAAATTTTTCAAGAAATGCTCCGATTTATATATTATGGAAAAGTCAATGATATTGAAAATATCGCCGAGCATCTTCTAGAGGCCGCTAGTAAATATGCATTGACTGATTTGGAGTATATTACCGCTGAATATCTTATTGACCATATGACAGTTGATAATTTGTTTCAATTACTCGAGTTAGGTGATCGCCTTAACGTTTCGTCACTGAAACAGAAAGCATTACAATTTAGTGTCATGCATGGTGAACATTTTCTCAATAATCCAGAGTTCACCAAAGCTACAGATTTAAGCAAACATTTGATGTTAGAAATAATCCAAACTTTTGTTATGCAGAGCTCTAGTAATATTCAATGCATGACTACAATGGCTGAGATGCGTGAATGTCCTCCACTTTTTATGTATACTCTTCATCATACTATGGTTGATGTATAATGAGTATTAAATTTATAAATCACTAATTTTAATATTCCGAACAAATCATGATTTTTCATCGTGACAATGCAATTTGTGTTAATGAAATTACACGACTAATTGCTGTATTGTATCCCTACAGTGCCCTTTATGTATATCTTTGCATAAGTTACTTGTATAATATACTCTGACTTGAATAAATTTATTAATGATATTTTTTAAATAAAAACGTTGTTTGTCATTTATTATTTTTGTGTTTCATACATCTGAATAAAAAAACTAATAAAAGATATAAATAATACAATCGACGATACGTTCACTCATCACTGATGACGATGTCCAAAGAAAGTATGCATGGAAATGTGAGTGATCAAAAATAAGAGGAATTGGAGAAGAATAAAAATGAGAGGGGCGGCAAAAAGAGGTGAAGGATAAAAATAAAGTTTAATTTCCAGCCCCTGTGTAAACGCTAAAAACACTGATTGCGGCGACCGTTTGAACTCGACGGTATGATCGGACGAAGGGGAGTTTCTCTCTTTCTGCTAAGCGAAGTAATGGTAGTAGTAGCTGTAACCCGCGTGCGCAGTGCAGCAAGCCAGCAAGCAAACGGCGTCCACTGGCCATCCTCTCGCGGCGCCTAAAGGCATCCGTTGATTACCGGTCCGAGGAAGGGCCACAGGACTTTAATTAGCGAGGTTTGCTCTTTGCAAACACTCGCGCACGCGCATCCTCGTAAAAGAGAGTAATACTTCGATGTCGAGTAAGGAATTCGTGCTAGAGAGAGCTGAATTTTTCCTAATGCCCATAAGGCCTTTGTGCGCGTTCAATTTTTCTACCCTTCAGAGTACTTATACCAGCCGTATAAGTTTATCCTTACTTGAACGTTAGTGTATTGTTTATTTTAATCGGTCAATCTAGCCCGCTTTTGTGTCGGATGTAGGATGGAGATTTATGTTATATATTGATTTTGCTCAAGGACGAGGTGTAGAATTTGCCTATGGCAATGTTTTTGCTGCTTCAATGTAGGCCATGAGCATGGAAACATGTAATTATGTGAATATTACGAAAAAAATTCTTACACGATTTTTCCTATATATACAACAGATGAGGCGATACATAAAAGTTAAATAAAATATGCTCTTCATCCAAAACATTTACTTAATATAATAATCCCAAAATGGTAAATCTAATATACAATCTTTCTATGCAGTTAACGTAAGCCTTTTCAGAATATATTCTTATAGGGAAAAATAATTTTAAGATCAGTGTAAGTGTTCTTCATGTATATATCGGGATATATAAAAGTGTGAAATGTATATTCAGAGTATCTTTGAATATTGTATGTACAAACCACATACTAGTCGAGGTTTTCCATCAAAATAAAAACACAACCTGTATTCTTATCTAGTTTCATTTAACGATTTCTTATACTTCTGAGCCGCTTAGGTAAATCCTATTTGATTGTAGATATAGATTTATAGAGTAGAAATTAATCTCGTACATCTAAAAATCATTAGAGCATAAATATATTTAGCCAAAACTACTTTGCTAACGTTTTGGGAATGTAATAAATTCCCTCAAATTTCATATCCTGTTACAATGGACGCAGATAAACTTATCTTTGCCCATTTTGCAATAATACGTTCGATTGGACAATGACAATTGATTTATTTGTGTCCTTTATTTGAGTATTGAGTAATATAAATTTGGCTAAATATATTCATATTCTAAACGAACTTTGCAAGAGTTTAATTTCCACTCTATAAACCTGTATCTACCATTAAACTATCTACTTATATCTTATATTAAATAATAATATTTAAATAGATGCAAAAAAAACTCAATTAATCCATCTATTGCTCCGATACCAGTTAATTATCCAAAAAAACGTTACGCTATTTGATTTCACAAATGCACAACATTTTCAGCGATGTAAATAACTTTTTCATAAAACATTACGTTAATAATCTCTTAAAGCATTGTAAAAAGTTGTTGAAATCCAGTGGCAACGAATAATTGAATAAAAAAATTCTTAAATCGCGTTTTAGTTGGAAATACTGTCCACCTGAAGTAAATGAACGTCTCAATTATTTCAATTATATCATCTCGACGATCTCGTTCTCGCTTCTTTGCTTATTTCGTTTTCTAGCTAAACAGGTGTCACTGCGAGAAGAAAAAAAAAAAAAGAAGTTGTCCAAAGCGTTTGGCATCCGAAGCAAAAGCTCCCGGGACGCCCGTATATAAGTCAGCGCGTGTCACTCATTGCTCGCTCGCGTCACCGAGGCGCAGCTGACAAATGAGACGTTGTCGTACGTTTGTTCAAATGACTCCCAACATTCCGCTGTATACCCCCTTGTCTCTCTTTCTCTCCTTCTTTCTTGTCGCTTTGAAATATTACTCCTAGTTGGCACTGCAGTGACGCTTTTAAACCGTTCGTACGTGCGACTTCTCGTTGACGAGAGACGGATGTGTGGAGTATATGTATTGGCAAGCACTCCGTCTTATTATGCAATCACTTTGCTTAAAATACTTGTCGTTTATTCTAGTCGCTCAGATAATTTCATGAAAATTGCTTGTCCGTATGTCTTAATAAAATTACATATGCAATATTTACGTTGTTATTATTATTATTATTATTATTATTATTATTATTATTATTATTATTATTATTATTATTATTATTATTATTATTATTATTATTATTATTATTATTATTATTATTATTATTATTATTATTATTGCAAAATTTGTACTTCAATTGACGAAAAGTCGATTGTAGAAGTAATCGAAAAGAAATAAAAAAGTTAATTGCAACGAGCGCTATCGAACGAAACGATCATGCTCCCTACTTGTTTATCGCTTGGACGCAACCACAAAAATGGCCTGTTTTTAGGGTAAGCTTTTTTCTCCGACGACAAATAATCCGAAATCAATTACTGGCTGGAATTACGAACGCTTAAGGAAGTCTGTCGTCGCTCTCTCACTCTGGCGACGCGATGACTTCAGAAGACTGAGGGAGCCAGGAAAGATAGAAAAAAAAGCGTCGAAGAAAAAAGTCGACCTTCCCTCACGACTTGTGGAGCAAGCGAGTAATCATTAATCACTTGCTTTTTAGCTCGGAATTCCCTTGCGCCTAGTTTACAAAACGAGGGTCGGTCGAGAATCGCCCCGTCACCCACGACAACAGGACTCTGCAATGCGCTTTTTGCACGAGCTGCGCTACGGGACAGGAAACATTGAACTTCAATGCTAATCAATTCGTTCTTTTTTCCAGCACTACAAGGGTAGAAAGACTTGATGGCGTGTAATGGTGACAGAAGTGGACAACATTATACATGACTAGAGGCGACTAAGCTTGATTGATGATTTAAAGATGTACCATGTACTTGAATTTAAAAAATGTATCTTACAAATCGCATCGTAGATAGCTGAGTGTAAAAACAGACGAAAAATGCTTATTAATGCAAAGCTGTTGTGTTCTCATATTTTTTTTAGACTTGAAAAAATACGTATATAATTTGTGGAAGACATAAAAATGTTTACTTATCTTGAACGTAAAAATTAGATAAAAGTCTAGGAACAGTACTGAAGAAATTGGATTATCGAAGTACATAAATCCTTATACAATATATTTCTGAAAATACACTTTGTTAATTACAAAAATCATCAGAAATGAACTGCAGTCAAGATTTTCAATTTTCCAAGTCTACAAAATATAAATTAATTATTTACCATAGTTTCTATAACTTGATGTCGAATTGGTCAAAATCGGTATGTGATTCACACCTTCGTCAAATTTCTTCTGCGAAAGTTAACTTGAAAATATGATAATTAAACTTTCTAGAAGTAGTTTAACTATTTGTCAGGCAAATGAGTTTCGACTTAGCGCTTCGACTACTGTTAAACGTATCGCTTTACCGGAATTCGTGAACACAAGCTGTAATGTAACAGCGTGCCTTCTTAGTTTCTCGTCTACTGATATAGTCGCATGCGGGAAGGACTGAAATAACAAAGATGCATTAGCGTCTTGGCCGCGTAAAGAATATGCCGTGCGGGATCAAAGTGGCCTGTATACAAAAGGTCGCGGCCGTGTAGAGGAAAAACGATCGAAAATAGAAAAAGCCACCTACGCGGCTGCCTTCAACTTCAACGCGAGATGTCGAACGCGGCTCACTACATGGCTCAGTGGCGACTTTGTTCTATACTTAGCTGTGTCTTGAATTACCAGTAAGCAAATTAGTGCTTTTATGGAGCTTACTTATAGCGTGTTATTTTACATGTAGTTTTTAATGTGCATTCCTGACAAACTTTTGATATTCAAAATTTGTGCTGGTTTAGAATTGTATTTTGAAGTCGTTTTAAAATCTTTTGTGTATTAACGATCATGTGTTGAGTTAACATATTGTAATTCATAAGTTTTATGAATTGGTCATTATCAAATAAAAAACTTAAACAAAATAAAAAAAACCTAAAAAGCCTTTTTTACTATTTCTATTATTAAAATATTAAGCTACTATGAAATCATCAACCGCTAATAGTCACAATAGAAAAAAGTATTTCCTTGATGATCCAAAAGAATTATATTATTTTTCCATTCTTTAACAAGGCACACAGCTACAACTTATATGCGTCTAAACTATTATTCCTAATCTGTTTAAACTCGTTCTTTTATGTACACTAGACATAATAGTATTTACATTGTTTATTAGTTAATTTACATTAAAAAATGCTTCCAAAATAAGTTAACACGTAATATAGATATTTCTTACAATAACAAAATGACTTATCGATTTAATAAATTGAGAAATGTGTACAATCCATAGCTAAGAAGAAAAGCCACACTAATATTACAAGAATAAAATAATTGTACATACTAAAAACTGAACAAATCAAATTTGAACAATGTAACTGTACACGGTATCGATAAAAAAAAATAAAAAATCTAAAAAGAAGGAGGAAAGCTAATTAAATGGATTTGAAAGCTTCTCAATAATTAAAATAAAATAATAAATAATAAATATTCTTATAACAAAATATAGTTCATTTTGAGAATTCAGTTGGAAAAATTATTCTTTGTAAACATAAAAATAAAAATACTAAAACTAAAAAGATTTTTTGAGTAATCGCCCTTACGAGTATTCGTCTCTCTCTCTCTTTTCGAAGAAGTAAAAAACTGTTATAAGACATCGTGGAGAAATGAATAATTTGTTATTTAATTGATTGATTTAT